AGTACCTCCTCACGCATAGAATGCTTCATCCCCTCTTCTTTTATAGACTCCATCGCCATACTCACATCATATCTTCCAGCAATGCCTCCCCACCCATGTCTTCCGTCGCAGCCTCCCTGTCATCTGCAGCCTCCCTATCATCCGCAGCCTCGTCCAAGGCGGAGGAAACCATGTCCAAAACCACTCCAGCAGCTACTCCCAGCACCACGGGTAAAAAACTCCACTCGTCTTCCACCGCTGTATCGACGGGTGCTGCTATTACTATCAACGCTGGGGAAGCCGGTGGTGTGGTGGTAGCCGTACTGGGAGCTATTGCTTGGGCGTTGTAGGTGCAGGCTAGTGTAGTTTAGGATGCACAATCACCTCACTGATCATAAGAGGGAAAAGAAAGTTCGAAGAGAGGATTCCTGGGTTCGATGGATGAGGAAAGGGTGGATGTATACCCATTGGATCGCGAGAAGAAGAGAAAGAAATGTTTGAATAAAACCATATCAGAATTCAATTCATTATCGAACCAATAGCTAAGCATCGTATGCAAATATCTTACAAAACCATTCCCTTCATATATATATGCTACCCATTACTCCATCCGATGCATTTCATGCCCTGTTAAATCATCGTTCCATCCATCTACAAGATAGCGATCCTTCTAACCTGCACCTTCTGCGCCCTAGGAACGGTGACCCTGAGCACACCATCCTTGAAGCTAGCGCCCACATTAGCTGCATCAATGCGTTCCGGAAACCTGAAGGTGCGCTCAAACGACCCGTGGATGCGTTCTTGTTGTTGCGACTGCTCCTGTGGCTGTGGCTGTTGCTGCTGAACTGGTGCTTCAGGTTGTGGCTGAGTTGCTACCGCAGTCTCGGTGGAGGCAGGCTCTTCGACTGCCTTCTCCTTGCCCTTGGGCTCGCGGGGTTCGGTAGGAGATGAAGGGCGCGAGTTGGGGAAGTCGGCGGCAAGGTCTTCAAAGTCGTCCTCTACGGTCGCTTGGTATGACTTCTGGCTTGCGGTATCGCTGACACTGTCGGTATCTGGTGTCGCAGCGCCGGTCGTTGTAGTGTCGGCGTCGGTAGTGGTCTCGACTTCCTGTTCGGATTGCATGGCAATGGGGTGTTGGTCGGCGGGAGCGGACGTGGGCTCGGCTTCGATTTGAGGTTGCTGTGCCTGAGGCTGCGACGGCTCCGACTGCCAGTGGGTGTTGCCCGCAATCTTCAGCGTCTGTTCATCGATGACCTCGATGTTGATGTTGTCTTGGTTGAAGCCGTGGATGTCGCCGTCTACCTGCCATCCCTGCTCCACCGGGTTGACTTGGAACTCGGCGCGAAGTGCGCGCTTGCGTTGTAGCTGTCGCTGGCGGTAGGCTTCGCGTAGTGCCTCGCGGTGTGCCTCGATCTGTGCCTGGCGCTGTGCTTCGCGGTCGATCTCGCTCAATAGCTCATCGACCTGGCTGAAGAAGTTGTTGTAAGGCGAGTATTGGGGACGACGAGGCTGGGGACGAGCGACGCGGTAACCGTGTGAGGGTCGTGATACTGGGGCGCAGTAGCCAAAGGGGTTGCACTGCGGTGCCTGGTAGGCGGGTGCGAAGCGGGGGGTAAGGACAAACGCCATTGCTGGGATTGTTCGTTCACGAAGAGAGGCTTGTTGATTGATGTGTAGAGTAATAGTGGCTGATGAAGCTCAAGAGTAGTTGTAGATGGGAGATGTGTAGATGTGCTGGTCTTTGAATCTGATGATGGGCTCCTGGAGAGCCGCAACACATTCCTTTATAGGCATGTTGGAGGCGTTCGAGGCAGCAGTCGATTGCGTGCGCGTGGATGAGAAATTCTGATCTCGTAAGAACAGGACGATGCTGGAAGAACGTAGACGATGCGCGACGATTGGTGATGCTTCGAGCTTTGTCACGAAGACGCGTGGAGATTCGCGACGCTTCTCGAAGCTTCTACGTCATCTGATGGCTGATGTGGCTCGTGCATGCTTATGCAACGCCGCAGCCTCCCTCACCAATACATCGACCAAAATCACTTTGCATCTTGGCATATTTGTTGTTGACATTGCATCTCATGGTTGCATTAACATTTCATCTACAATATCGCAAGTCTCTCAAGTCCATCCACACTTCCTCTAGGCCTTGTACCTAGCAGGCATCGCAGCCTTGAGCAACTTGGGGAAGTTGGGAGTGCCCAATCCGGAAACCGGGTCCCATCCCGCAGTAGCGTTCCAGCTGGCATATGGGATGACAGGGCTACCATTAGGTGCGCCGTGGAATCGTGCGTGGCCGTCACAGCCAGTGCTACCACCAAGAACAATGTCGTTGAGCGCATCAGGGTTGGAGTACAGCAGGGGGTTCAAGAAACCAAGAGCAGGCTTCTTGGCCCTCAGACGTGCGTCATTGAGGAGGGCGACGATACCACCGAAAGCAGGAGCGGAGCAGGACGTACCCTGGTATCCCTTGAGAGAACCCTTATCGTAAACCTAAACAGAGTCAGTCTGTGTCTCGCGTGCAGTTTGTAGAAGAACATTTCTTACCCTGTAACCGAAACCCTGGGCCGAGACGTCGGGGAAACCGCGACCGTGACGGTTGAAGTAGGGCTTGTTCTTTTCGCCGAGCTTGTGGAAGTAGGCCTTGACAGCATCGTCCTGGTAGCTGGGACGCTTCCAGTAGTCGGAGAAGCCGCCGGAGGAGAAGAAAGTAGCAGTCTCATTGAGGTAGCGGGTCGAGCCGACCGAGGTGACAAAGGGGCAGGCAGCGGGGTACTGGGGCTGGAACTTGGTAGTGTTCTTGCCGTCGTTGGAAAGGCAGGCAGAGCCAGTACCAGAGTCACCGGACGAGAAAATGACCGAGACACCGCGGCTGCCGAGCTGAGCGAACAAGTTGCAGACGCTGAGAGCGTACGACTTGGGTACGCTCTGCTCGTTCTCGCCGTACGAGGTCGAGATGACCTGGGGAAGGTCCTTCTGCGGGAGCTTGAGCACGCTCTGGAGGAACTCAAGGTAGGGCTCGTTGGCGCTGTCCGCCTCATCGGGCTGGTCGAGATCAGCGACCCACGGGCCGCGTCCACCAGTGCTGTATTCAGTAACAGGCAGGGGCTGGGCAAGACCAAGCATGTACTGCAAATCCAGGTTGGCCTCGCCACTGTCGTCGGCAGAGGTTTGATCGTTCAAACCGCCGTTGAATTGGACAACAGAAAAGTTCTGACCCACAGCCTCGGGCAGGATATTCTTCTCAAAGAGGGCAAGGTCGCTGTAGCGCGCGTACTCCTCGAGGTAGGAAGCAAATGCTGCCTTGCTGCCGCTCTTGGGGTCGGGAGTGTAGTCAATCTTGTAGAGCTGCTTCAAGCACTGGGGAGTGATAGAAGCATCACAGTTAACAGTGACGTTGGGAGAAGAAGCGAGCTGGATGCTGAAGATCTCGCGCTCAGTCTCGTGGTTCGCGCGGATAGCAGCGAAACGAGTGGTCGGTTGAACGAGGTTGATGTGCCCGGCAATCTCATCTGGAACGGAGTACTCGAGCGTGCGGAGAACCTTGCGAGGCGTGCTCTCCTCGCTGACGAACCAGGAAAACTTGGTTCCGAGGAGCTCGTTGGCAACACCGACGGTGGTCTTGAAGGTTACCCAGTCGGCATCAGTCTCGAAATTCTCGATACCGGCGGCCTTGAGCCAGGCAGAGACCGAGGAAACGGTCTCCTCGCTGGGCATGAGCATGCGCTTCATCTCCTCGTGCGACTCAAAGTGCTGTCCGTACTTTGCGTTCGAGGGGTGGAGATGTCCATGACGGTCTGCTCAAAGCCTGCGGTATCGCCTTGCTGGAGCGCGATCTGGAGCTTGAGCGTGTGCGCATCCGATGCCGGGCCCTGAAGCTTCCATCCTGCTGGCCGTTAGCATTGATCGAAACTCGATGAGACGTATAGCTCACCCTCCGGAACCTCGAAAAGCTTCTCAAACGGCTCGGCGAAGGCCTGCATGGCCAACAACGAGCCGACGATGAATGAGAGCACTGGAGCCATCTTTGCCACAACCGATATTGCCTTGAGCGAAGGTAGTCCGAAGCGAAAGCGGATGAAGAGGCCATGAGAGCAGGACAGTATAGTACTTTTATACCGCTCCCGCAGTCGACTTCAGACCCTGCATATTGGATATCGACCTACCTCATGTAGTTTAGAATACTTAAACTGGCTCATCTCGCCATGCGCGTATGCGACGCGTTGAGCGGGACTAATCGTACCCAAGCAAGTGGCTAAGGAAGACAAGCCTCGGGGTGGAGTCCTTGACGAGGCTTGTGTGCCGGATAAGCTCCTTCTTGTTTTGGCCTTGGTACTGCGATAACATGACCGATTGCCCCACTTGGCCTGTTGTGATAGGCCGATGGCGTCCGGTGCGGGATCGCTAGCACCGGTTTTGGGCTGCCTGCATGGGATGGCGTTATAGCCGGACCGTTGCCTCGGCCACAGATCATGCAAGGCACATACGAGCACCTTCCGCTAACAACATAGTATTGGTGTGTAGAGCATGTCATTAGCATCCGAGATCCTTCTGTGCTGTCTAACAGATACGAATGGACTTGTTTTTTTACAATTTTCACACCTAGACTTGAAGCTACGGGTTCTCGAATCCAATTCACGACCAGCACTCGATGGATAAACAACAGGCTATTCTCGAAGAACAGCACTATATGAGCGCCGAAAATGCTCCGACTTGCGCCAATTCGTCAGATCCTACTTCTCATTCCGCGAAAGTACGCCTTGGAAAGTCGTTTAGGCGTGGGCCATCGTAGTGATTCATTTGAGGCCACGACCAACAATTCCTTCTATGACGAACAACATCACCTTCCTCTTCCAATCCGAACCCCCAATGCAACGGCTTATGTGTATAGTGTTGCAATTGCTGGGCCGAAAAGCCATGGTAAGGATACGTGGGTGACGGCCACTGTAAACCCATATCCCACATCATCTGCCACATATATCGGTATAATATGAAGTTGCATGTGACAGAAGAACCTTCATCTATCGAGCATGCTCCTTGACCAAATTGATACTTGTAAAGATTATCAGTAATTTGAGAGATCCGTTCCTCGATACTGTCCGTTCGTCGACGTTCAATACTTGCTGTTCAGGATTAGAAATCGACGAACTGTGTACATATCTCATAGTTCACTTACCTGAAACTTCCTGTGGTATAGGAAGGCCAATTGTCCGAAGAGTGCCCTCGTCGCAGTACGCAGCTGCAACATCCGTAGCAAGCTGGAAGTGATTTTCGTCTCGGAAGACATAAGAGACCCAAAGATGAAGTAGAAGATCACGACAATACTCAGAGGGTACCTCTCTGCTGTCGAAGGATTCCATCCACGTAGTAGTGAAGGACCCGACTGCGTCCTCACAATCATAGTAGTCTACGAGTATGCCGACCTTGGCCAATAGCTCGAGACTGACGCGGCGTGGGATCTTACGACCCCGTAGATGTAGCATGTTGAGGAAGACAAGGAAAGCCTCCTCTTCTCAGTCCTCTACTACGATGTAGTGGCGGCCATCTGGCTTCTTGTATCCCTCACGAAAACCGTCTGGCGATAGCATCTTCCTGAACACCGGAGAAGCCAGGGTAAGATGACGCGAAGAAACACAGTACAGTACCGACCCAACGGGAACGACCGGGATCGTATGCTCGAAGCTTGTAACTGTGATACCCTCGGTAGGTGCCTGATGAACTGTATTGTCGTTCGTATTCGTGGTCTCTACGTCCTCGGCCGCCAGGCAGAAAGGAAGTTGAGCGAGTGCATCGAGATTCTCGAATGGCGAGTTGTCCCACAAGGCGAAGTATTCTGGGTTTCCTGGTGATCGCAAGATGATAATGGTATCCGCATTCGGATCGATCACGTGTTGAGCCGAAGCCATGATGTTTAGATGTGGGCAATGTGTCGGTTGAGTGATTGTGATTCGATGTTAGGAAGGGGATAACGAAATCTTCTTTCGACTGCGTAGGCGTGAGGTCTTACGTGGACCGCTAGTAACACGTTGAGCGACCAGACGGTCGAGTGAAAGTCTGATAACCCATCCATTGATGAAGGCTGAGAGTACTGGTCATATGAACTTGTCGTTGTCGAGTGAAAACCAGATGCGGTAGTACTAGACTTCCATCGCCTGTCTGCAAAGATTATGATTGGATACAAAGGGGGGCCCGAAGCTGTCGTAGAGAGGACGCCATTCACCACACCTAGGATGCGCATTGCCGCCTTCACCAACGTCGACCGTGACTTCATGACGACCGTCTTCGATGGCAGTCCAATATACGCGTCCCGAAAATCAGGAATACTTGGGGCCTATATCTGTTGAAAAGTTGACTAACTAAAGTGTATAAAGATAAGTTGTAATGTTCTATCTACGCGTAAAAGAGTTCTTATATCTCTTAAACCTTTATTTGTCTTAAAGTTGAACTGTATAGTTGTTTGTCTTAGACAACAATATCTTATGCCGGACGCGTGGGAGAGTAGTTGGACGCGTGACTAGAGGCAGGGCTGAGGGTGCTACAACCCCATTTGTACTAGCGCGGAGCCCGAGCCCGAGCCCTCAGACCCGCCTACGCTAGACTGCAGCTTGTCTCCTTTTCGCCTGTTCGATACGCATCACATTACAACGCAAGCGATCGCTGCGACGAGTTGACCTACGGCTAATCCGGTGCCTATGACTCCTATCGTTGTCGCACTGCGCGAGCGCTTAGTATACCGCCTGTTCAATCTTCGGCCCATTTGATACGTAAGCTCTTTCCGTTCTTTTTCGAGCTCTTTTAACCTGCGCGACATGTCGGCTTGAGAAGACTGCGATCCACTTGCTACTGGAGAGGATACAGCACTGGAGCCTCCGTAAACGGTGTTGTCTGAAGCAGACTGGGTTGTGCTTTTAGTTCCTTGTCGACAGCGCTCGATCTCCAATTGCTGCTCGATACGACGTGCTGCTGCCGAAATAGTCTCGTCGTCACGATCAATATTCGCATCCCACGCCTTGCGAATGTCGTCGAGCGTCACTTTTGTGTGGTCAATATCTTCGTCGACCGATCGCATGGTTTTAGTCATCTCGGTAACGGCGTCCTCGAGCTCACGCAGTTCTTCTCTTCGCGAAGAGTGAGCCATCTTCTCTATTTTCTCCTGGGCTTCTTGAGTCTTAGCCTGCAATGTCTCGATTGATCCTTTCAAATCGTCATACAACACCTGACCGGCACCTGTCTCGTGGATAAGCCGATTCTCATCCACTAGTTCTCGCTGGAACGCCAGCGTTAGTCTTCTATCTTTGCTCACTATATGTTGAAGTATTCTCGCTGCGTCTATCTCTACGGCCGATAGCCTCACTAGTTTGCCGCCTCCCCGAATCACATCCTGACGAATCTTCGCTTGGAGTTCCTCATGCCGAACTTCAGCTTTGGCGAGTTCATCTGTGGTGACTTTGTCCCACATTGTCGTTGCCACGATAATCCCTTTAAACACCTCTTCCCCGCACATCTTCTTGAAAGCACGCAACGCTCGTACAGCGGAACCTTGAAAGCGATTGTTCGTTATGCAATGTAAGTAGATGATCCCACTAAGTTTGATATCTCTCTCGTAAGCGGCTGCTAACCAGTATGCTAGTTCTTGCAATGTTTCGCCGTCAGACCGTCGACTGTCGTTAAAGCCAGGCGTATCGATTAGATGGACTGTCCGTCCGAGAACGCATGTGGTATGTATGGACACTTGACTCGTACCTGTGTTACCAGTCAACGATCGGCCGAGCTTGTCGTCCACGAATATGCCTACATGATGAGAGTTCATGGCCTGACAAGCGCTCTGTCGGCTTGGTGCAGTGCTCAATGAAGGTAGACTTGCCGGCACCAGTCATTCCCATGACTGCGATGAAAACATCATCGGGACTACCCGTCGAGTCAGCTCTGTGCATCCGAAAAGTGAGAATATACCAACTCAACGGGCTGCAAGCCTCCAACATCTGTGGTTTCCATCGAGGGCAATGGGTGACTGTACGAAATTGCAGACTAGCGAGTACAGTTGCGTCGGACTGGCATTCAGTTATCGCTCTGCTATAATCATGTCGCGCCGCAGCTTTCCTTGCGGCTGAAAGTAAGTCAAACCATGTATTTACTAGCGACAAGGTTGAACATCAGGCTTCCATTCCGTTACTTCACAGCCACCAATCAGCGTCACACACGTCAAGTTGAGTGCGACGGGCTGTGCTGCAGGGATACCGATGCATGTAAGACTGCGCCTCCTCGTCTAGGTGCAGTCCGTGCACGGGTGCGCCTGCATGAAGCAAGCTAAGGTAAGCACTCCAGCTGGGATCGTCAGGACACTGCAGCCTACTCGCAATAGCAACTCGATGCGTTTACACCTACTGCCATCAACTTGTCGCATCGTACGCGATCATTCATTACGCAACTGACATTATCGTAATGTACGCAACATGAGCACTTATAGAAGTTCTTCAACAAGAAGGGGGAGTTTCGACGTGCCGGACTCGGCGCGCTCATCTGGGAAACCCTCCACCTCACTTCCCTCATCGGCTCTGACTGTCACGGCTCTCAACAACAATGCACCGTCTTCTCAGTACGCTTAAAATCCCAAACTGACTCGCTCATCTAATTTATCACCAGAGCAATTGGCATACTCGTTATGGGACTTACCGGTGCTGGCAAAAGTACCTTTATCTCACAAGTCACGCAGAAAAGTGCAGATATCGGGCATTCGCTAGAATCCTGTACGTTTGTTCATACTGATGAAAATTTAAGCCTAATTGTGTCAAGGTACAACTGATGTCACCTTCCGAACATTGCAACGAAGGAACGGCCAGGAAATATATCTCATCGACACACCAGGCTTCGATGATACCAAATTGGAATATGCGGCAGTCTTCCGAAAGATTGCTTCATGGATTTGTACCTACTGCGATGAGAATAGGCGCGGCCTTCGTATAGGTGGAATGATCTATGTTCAACGGATAACCGACATGCGAATGTCAGGGTCTTCTCTCAAAAGCCTCCGAATATTCGAAAAGATTTGCGGCGAGCGAAATTTTCGGGATGTTGTGGTCGTAACGACTATGTGGGGGTCCTTGAAGACGAATGAAGCACGAGATGCCGCAGTGATGCGCATGAAGATGATGGAGGAAAGACCAGAGTTTTTTGGCAACTTGATAAGAGGTGGAGCTAGGATGGAGAAAAGCCAGGGTGATGGTCAGAGCGGTGTTCGTATCGTCGAACTTCTGGCAGATAGGCGAAAAACGGTGGTGTTACAGTTACAACACGAAATGAGAGGCGGCATGAAACTGGAAGGAACGACAGCGGGCAGGTACCTGGAAGGTGAGCTTGTGCATACACGTGAAAGATACGAGGCCCAGAAACGAGAGCTAGAAGAGTGCGCTGAGGAAGTTCATGATGATGATGATCTCAGAAGCGAGTTCCTCGAGCAAATCGAAGACTGCACTCGCCTTGTGAACAACATCGTGGACGATCAAGGGAGTCTCTCCGTCACACTCGAAGATATGTGGAACGAGCAAGCGGTGAGCTGTGGAGCGGGTCGCGACGACCAGGCCGAGGACACTACGCAAGAAAACACTTCCGCCCACATCGTTAAACTTGAGCACAAGATTCAAGGGCTTGAGAGAAAAATTGAAGCGCAGCGCGATGATCTCGACGCACAACGTGAAGAAATCGAGAGGATTGAGGCGGCTAGTAAGGAGATCGCAGAAGCTAAGGAACGCGACCAAGTCGCGCGTACTAAAGTGAAAGAGAGGCGAGCGCCTCATAATGAGGCTATTCTGTGGATGCAAAACTTCTTTGCTGGGAGACGCCCCGAAAACTTTGTACAGCCGCCACGTCGAGCTGACTCCATGCCGTTGGAAACGAAGGCGTCTAGAAAGTCTAGCATAACGTCCTGGCAAAAGCGAAGCCGATCGAAGAGCCGCCAGAGTCGCAAGCCCGACAATATGCGCACATATTCAGAAGAGCAAACAAAGCAGTCTTATATCGCTTCGCACTATCATCAAGGTCAATACACACACGAGCCTGGGTATCCTGGTGTATCGGGAAGTGACTACGAGAGCGGGATGAACAATTCAACACCTCAGATGTATATGCCACACCAGGCTCATTCATACACTCCTGTGGCTCTGCCTGCACCCAATGGGCAATACCAAGTACCGCCTCATGGAGTATCTATCGATCCCTCTAGGACAATGCGCAATCCGCCTCCGCCCTCGCAACCTCCTTTACGCAGAATCCCACCTTCTGTTGCTCCGCCACACCACCAGGTTGTTGTCAGATCTCCTTCTTATCCCAGTAACGCGCCTGGAGAAACCCATTATCGTGGGTAGTTTGCCTAGATTGGGACCATCTATTTTCTAGACTGGGCGTACAAACACAACTCTTCAACGACTACCAAAAAACTTCGTGCGCGTCAGTGTAACGTGATGTATAATGTAGCCATCCCTGGATCTGGAGTATCCCAGGGTCTGATCAGATGCATTCGTCTAATGCCTAGACTATTACAAAGTTCTGGCTACAAGAAACTGCCTCGCGTGGCGCAGTCCACGCATGGCATGTGGTTGTGAAGAGTGGCTTTGGGACCAGCTACGCCATGCCATCTTCAAGGGTGCATGTACTGCCCCACCAGGACCATGCACATAATACGAGATGTGGGGGCTATTAAAGAGCTGAGAACTATCCGGTGAACTTCGAAAGACGGTTGCGCGATAGTTGCAGGGTGGGTCCCGCGTGATGGAGGGGCAGATGCAACGGTGGTTCGTCACCAACTAGCCTATCAGCCGCACCTGTGCGTTGTCACTTGATGACCAACCCGATGGCTTGCATATGGGCGAACGACACGAACATGGTACTTTCGAGGCGCAATGCTGGTCCAAGCTTCGTGTGAGTGTATGCATGAACCTGTAGTTCCCAGTCTAGGATTATATCTTAGCAAGTGGTTGCCTTCCAGCCTTATCGTCATTCTTCACGAGATGAGAAGCCCATATCGCTCCAACTGAAGTACGATAGCTTTACAGACTCTTTTTCTTCATCAATTGCATCAATACCATAGCAGCTATGAAGGACAGAGTGGACAGTCCTCATCGTGAGGTACCTGTCATTCCAGATTTGAAGTAAGTGCCAACCAATATTTCGGCGAGTACTGGCTGATCGTTTTACAAAGACCTGACGACATCATAATCGCTGTGATGGGTATAACTGGCTGCGGCAAAACCACCTTCGTTAATCTGTTCTCTGATCGAAAGCTCGAGGTTGGACATGGACTGGACTCATGTGAGGACCGAAGTTTGCGGCAGAGACATTATCTCGACTAAGACTCTCTAGGTACCGTATCAGTGCAAGTCGTGCCCTGCACATTCGAAGGTGGCGCAAAAATATATCTTGTCGATACTCCAGGTTTCGATGACACATATCGCACCGACTCTGAAATCCTGCGAGAAGTCGCGCTTTGGCTGAACAAGGCACACTCTGAGAAATTGCGACTAGCAGGAATAATCTTCCTACAACGGATATCAGATGTACGAGTAGGCGGTAGCGGAATCAAGAACATCAGAATGTTCCAAAAGTTATGCGGTGATGGCCCGCTTGCGAGTGTGGTATTAGCGACCACAATGTGGGATATGGCTACGAAAGACGCTGCAATTCAACGAGAAAAGGAGTTGAAAGAACAACCACAACTTTGGAAAAAGATGATAGATCATGGCAGTGTCGTTTTCCGTCACGACAAAAAAGAAGCGTCAGCGCTCAAGATCATTAAATATCTGATGAAGAAGAAGAGACCCGTCACGCTCGACATCCAGCGCGAGATGGTCGATGAGAAGCGCGAACTGATCGATACGGGCGCTGGCGAAGCGCTAGCATCAAACATGGAAGCGCTCATTAAGCTATATGAAGGGAAATTGAGGAATCTAGAACAGGAATTCAGAGAGGCCCGCAAGGAGGACCGAGAAATGTTGGAAGAGCAAAAAAGAGAACATGAGGAAAGTCTTGCAAAGCAGCGAAGAGAGATGGAGAAGCTACATGTCAACAGGTTGCAGCTTATAGAAGAAGAGAAGAAGCGATTTGAAGAGAGCCAGAGGGAAGCTAAAGAAGAGATGCAACGTGCTAAAGAGAATTTTGCGGCAGAACTTGGAAAGCAGAAGAAGCACATAAGAGAGCAGTACATTCGGGAAATGCAACGCTGTAATGTAATGTAGCGCTTAGAACCAAACAATTTCGTTTATCTTGTTATCCGACCGAAATCGTCCTTACCTACTAGGTCTAGGCACACACAAACACACGTCAGCAGGAGTTGATGGTGTAGTACGCGTGCGCTTAAGATGCATTGGATTGAACAGGACACAAAGCAGCGTATCTGCGGCGCTCCCACACCCGCGACTGGCCTATGTAGCACGCCATCTTCGCGCGCAAAAGAAGCAAAACCCGACCACCTCCGAAGGAAAAATATTCATTGCATCAGAGAGCTTCAGACTGAATATATCTTCATGTACATGCTGACCATCTATCGAACGTTCGAGATCTTAAAGCCACCCGGTACAAGCTTTTGGAAAACACCAGAAGGATCATACTTCTTTGCCGCCGCCTTCATCTTCTTCACATTCTCGGAGCCATAACTGGCCAGCGGATCCTGTGTGTTATCCGCATAGTTCAGGTAGAGATATGGGTTGTCAGCGCCGATACTCTCAGCATACTCGCGAATCCGGTTAACGAGATCTGCGCCTGCGCCTTGGAAGAGGGCATCTTGTTCTGCGCCTTGCCAAGAGATGTAGGGTTGGTAGACTGATACACATTAGCTTGCGATTATCTTTCGCTGTAAAGTCAAAGAGTGGACTTACGACACAACACTTGTTCGCCGAAACGTTCCAGGCCCAGCATGTTACCACCTTTAGAGGCGCTCTGCCGCCAGTATGAAGGCGGAAGAGGTTGGTAGAGAACGTAAATCTGCCAGTCGCCCGTCGCCTTGGCTTTGAGGTTGGAGAGTACGTCCATGTAAATTTCATGTGCTTTGGTCATGACGCGGAGGTCATTGGCGAAAGTGAGTGTGCCAAAGTATACGCTGAAGATTTGGTTAACATCTGCTAAAGTGAATGCTGTGACTGGCTTACCTATGGGTTGTGGCACCTGCAAGCTCTGCTGCCAGCGACGACATGTTCCTGATTCCTGTGGTATCGGAAATGTTGCCAGGAATCGCTAGAAACTCATCGTAGGCCGCGGGTCTTGGTACTGGCTCAGCATAATCATACGCATTCAAGATCAAATCAGCACCAGCGGAGCTTTGGTATACCGGCATGACGATGGCCGAACCCTTGGGCTGTTTGTCGATGTTGTTGGAGAAATTGATGAGGGCCTTGAAGTGGTCTTGTATGGTCGACTCCGGGTAGATGACAAGGCCACCCCAGAGGCCGTTGTAGTCAAAGGTACCGAACTTGAAGCTAGTAACGACGCCGAAGTTATTGTTGCCGCCTTTGAGGACAGCAAAGAGGTCGGGATGAGAGGTCTTGGAGGCGGTCACAATACGACCATCGGCAAGAACGACTTCGAACTCAATCACGTTATCGCAGACCAAGCCCCGTCCTGGCGAGAAGTATGAGATACCACCACCAAGTGTAAGGCCCCCGACTCCGACTGTAGATGAACGCCCACCGCTCGTCATCACATTGAGAGGTTCAAGAACGTTGTATACGTCGTCCCACGTCGCCGCAGGACCGACCTTGACAAGAGTGTTCTTAGCATCATACTGAACGGTGTTGAGGTAATGCAAATCGAGAGTGACGCCATCCTCGATGTTTGAGGCTCCAGCGTAGGGAGTATGCCCAGCACTGCGGATCGCAAACTTGCAAGACTTCAGTAGACTGGCAGCCGTAAGAGTTTTGACAGCAAGTGCGACTTCCTTGGCTGTCTTGGGTTGGACGATGCAATTGGGTGTGATGACTTGTTGCTTCACATCGAAGTAGGAGTCCTCCCGCGTCTCGTACGCGTCTTGACCAGGGAATAGCAGGCGACTTCTCAGGGAAGTGAGAGCGAGGGCGGAGCACTGCCATTGTTAACTAACGTTTCGAATAGATCGAGCTCAGCGAGCAGCCTTACACAATAGTCAGCCTGCACATACGGAACAACAGCCGCTGCCGCCAACAGAGTAACGATCAAGCGAGCCATTATGATAGTCAGCCCAATAGCCAAAGAGACGATACAAGGAGTACTGGATGATCGCGATTACAACGCAGGCTGCAGCACGGTTTTCTACTCGTTCACTCTCTCCGACAAATCTACAACATGGCCTAAACAGGAAGGCGCAATCACTGCTTCACAATGACTCGGCATATTAAATGAAGATGGATTTTTGAAGGATTTCCAGAATTGATTGAAGGGCTAGATGCTTTGGAGCGTTGGGTTTGCACTGCGAAGGGTACACAGCTGCCGGTGGTACCTCGGTCGAGTCTACAATTTGTTCGCTAAAACTGTGGCTTGCAAGGGTAAAAGAACGCGTGTTCTGTGATAGGTGCGAGGGTACTTACACGCGGCTCGGTCCAAAGAGTCAATTGGAAGATCTTTCCGCGTCCCTAAGGGAGCGGACCGCAAGGGGCTGTGGTTGAGGCGCAGGCGTCTAGCTAGACCATCCGGGGAACTCCGGGCGACCAGAGTGACGGGTGCAATATCCAAGATATAGCCATCTCATCGAACGCCACATGCTTGGCATGCACCCTCTCCCATCGTCCTTCCGCTGGAAAGGGAAACATCCGAGCCGTTGTTGCAATGCCAAGCTATTGCGCCCATGCGATGGAGCGGCGTAGGCATGATGAACAGGTTCACAGCAGATTGTGCCGTACCTTAGACCAATCTCCTGCTGCGTGTCGCAACTTTACAACTTAAGCGATGCGGCACATATGAACAGCCCGTGCCGCTATCGGACATCACAATCATCAGAGGAATTCTTTGTGGCAAGGAACAGGGTGCAATGACGCGACGGATCTGTTGGTCGAGGAGACTTGTGAGCAGGCGAAATGCGATAATCCAAGCGACGGGGACGATAATGCCAACTTGGAATATAGATGAGTGAAGACGACGCTTCGTTCGCAACGATGCGGATTTGTATCGAATTTTCATCTCAACATGGACATGAACCAGCCCATATTTTCGGCTCCGCCTGGTTACGTCGTCGATGTGGACAATCCCCAGAGAACCGGGGAAGCTGCAAATTTCTGGGTTGGTACCTTGGGCATGATTGTTGCTGCCATCTTCATGGTTATACGTGTCTTTACAAAGACAAGGCTAGCAAAGGGCTTTACACCGGACGATAGTAAGCTCGCTCAAATCTCTCAGAACACCTCTCAAGCCTTCTGCAACGGAATCCAGTATCTGACGAAGACCAACAGTAGCGTTGCTCGTAGCTTGGGTACGTGGCAGTACATTTCGCATAGAGCAGGATGTTCGTTGGATCTTGCTGACGACCAAGTCTACAGTGCTTCTCCATTGCCATCCAAGTTCCTATTCTGTGTATGTTCTGAGGTCTTTATCAATGCCCTCAAGCCTGATCTAACCCTACAAAAGTCCAGTATGGCCGAGGCACTCTCGGCGTACACATCTGGGAATTGACTGGCCATAGAGTCAACTCTACAATGAACGTAAGCACCACTCATCACTCTGACCAAGCGACCTCAACTAACTCATACCGCAGCTGATCAGTGTAGCAAGCATCATCTACTGTCCTTTCCTCGCTAGCGCTAAGCTATCTCTCCTCTTCTTCTACCTACGCCTGTCGCACATACAATGGTTCCGACTGTGCGTATACGCAAGTATGTTCGTCGTCGTTGGATACAACATTGCGCTTGTCTTTCCGCTCATCTTCGCATGTACGCCTTTCCGACGGAACTGGGATGTTACAATTACCGAGGGAAGTTGCATCGATAGGACACCACTTTATATGGCGACGGCGGTCCTGAATATGGCCACAGATATCTTACTGCTGATCTTACCTATACCGATGGTGGTCAAGCTGCAGATGCCTAGGGCTCAGAAAGCTGGTTTGATATGCATATTCGGTGTGGGCTCGCTGTAAGTAGCAAGGCCAAAAGATAGAGATGGAGAGCACAATCTAAACTGCCACAGGACATGCATAACAAGCGCCGTACGACTAGCTCTACTCTTTCCCATGCTTCAAACCATCGACCAGACGTGGGCGATCGTCATGCCAGGTATTTGGATGCAAGTCTTCCTCAAATCCAGGAATCTCATCCCCATCATATCATATATACTGATATATATCTTCTCCGCAGTCTCATCGAAGCCAACCTCGTCATTATCACAGGCTGCCTGCCAACAATGCGTCTCTTCTTTCGGCATGTCGCACCGCGTCTGATCGGCGAGTCTTCGCTTCGCAGTCGGAGCCGAAAGCAAAGTAGTACAGGATATGGGGGTGGCTCACATCACCAACTGGAGCTCAAGACCATCGGATCGAGGGCTATGAATAAGAGATTCGAGTACGTGGAGGATGACACGGTGAGTGTGGGTAGTGAGGAGAGGACGACGGCGGGCTGGAGGGGTGACAGGGACTCTGAGAGGGGCATTGTTGTCGCGGGAAATGCCGGGGGAATTACGAAGACGTCAAGTGTTGTTGTCGAGAGTGAGTTGCGGAAGAGTAGTTCGACGGATCTAAGGTCGAGTGTTGCATGCCTGCGGTGAAGTTGGTGAAGTATCCGAGGATTAAGTAACCAAATAGACTCATTTCTACATCTGTCTACACCTACTACGCATCTCAAAAACGATCCTTTCGTTGAGCAACATGAACAGCCATAGCGCATAAAGGCAAAACATCATGGTATCTATCATGCTCTGCATGGCATGGCATGGCATCGCAGTCTTCCCTTTTTGCAAAAAAAAAAGAGCAAAAAAACGCCATATGTACCCAGACCACGCCTGCGCTGGAGATCCCCTAATCTGAATCAAACGACTAGATGATGAAAGAAACATCGTCAAATATGAGAAAGAAACGTAGATCCGAAAAGAGAAACCGTTGGCACCAACCAAAACCCCCATCATTCATCTTACTCATTCGCCTTCTCTTTGCCACTAGCCATCCTCGCACTTCTGATACTAGTCTGCCTGGCCAGACTTGTCTCACTACTCTTCTTCCCTCTAACCTTCAAACTCTTGATAGAATTCGACGGAGAAGGTCTGGGCGACGTTCTCGGTGTGCTGCTTCTACGGCTCATTTGCTCAAAGCGGCCAGCGAGATCCTTGACACTTCTTGTGTCCTTGACTCCCCTGCTGTTGTTGTTGTTGTTGCTGCTGCTGCCGTTGCCGTCATCAGCGTCTTGTCCTCCTACGGACAATATGCTGTTCCCGTCCACATCCGCATTAACGACGCGGAGTTTAGATTTCGGAACCGTAAACATGACTTGAACAACCCTCCTCTCAACCGCAGCTTCGACATCCCAGTCCGCCTCGCTAGCCGGCGTGCAAGGCCTACTAGTACTCTCGCTTCCTCCTCTTCCTCTTGGCACACCCAACTGCTCTCCTTTAATAGGCGTCCTAGTAGGCGTAGGCAACCTCTCCTCACTCCCCACATTGACAAGCAGATTCGCACCCCGTTCTCTCCACTCTTGCCTCGCGCGTTCCCGCTCCGCCATGGCAATGTCTTCTGGTGCGCCCCAATCATCGCCCGCCGTCCGACGCCAAGCTGGATCCGTTTCATCTTCCAACCAATCCTGTTTCCCTCTTCTATTTCGCCAGAAACTAGCATCCGAGGCAGCTCGCTGTGGTGTCGTCGACGACGTTGCCGTCGTTGCAGGCATGCTTTTCCTGTGAACCGGCGTAGACGAGTGCTCGACGGGATCGTCTCTGTACGGCTCTTGTTGCACATCCTGATAGTTCATTGTCGCAGCAGTCATACTCCTCGTCCTCTCAGCACTACTCACACTCCTCGTCAACACTCTCCTCACACTCCCCAACCAGCTCATCCGTCGTTCCCTGGGAGCTGGACGGGCAACGGTCGCAAGGTCCATTGAGAATGGTGTTGCTGGCGTAGCAGTCGCAGCCCGACTATAACTACCGTCTGTATCGCGATGAGATGTCGACTCACTTGAACCCGTGTCTGGCCTTGCTCTATTTTCTGGGTTTCCGCCGAGGAGTGCTTCGCCTTGAGCCTGGAGATGTGCGAATGAGGATTGGGTGGTATGAAAGGAGTCAATGTCGTGGTGACCATTGTTGCGTAGACTGCTGAGAGAGTGCGTTCGCGGATGGTCTGGAGAGTGTGAACCTGTGTCATTATTTCTGCTGGGCTGGTCGTGAGTTGGGCTGGAATCTGGCGTCTTGAACGGATTCCCGCGGGTGGCAGTGTTTAGCATGGGGCCTGAACGCATGGATGTACTCCGCACGACGCCGCCGTTGGAAGACGTCCAAGACAGTGTACTCCTCTCGCTGAGGTTGGAGCTAGTACGTTCTGAGGAAGATTTATCAGGCGAGAGCCTTCCCGCGATCATCGGCTGATTCGTGTTCATCTCAGAGCTCTGGTGGTGAGGCGAAGTAGGGTTGGAATTCAACGCATTCCTACTACGTCCAGGAGATTCGGTAAAAGGATCCAGAACAGGGGCGTTATCAAGTATAGCTGCCCCAGATCGTGGTCGTGTCTCGATCATCTCAGGTTGCCTAGCTGGTGTACCATTCTCGTGCACCAACTCCTCATCAGGCTCTTCTTCTAGTTCATCAATGGGATGTATGCCTCCCGGACCCCGAGGCCTGCCCATAGCGTACTGTGGTCTACCGCTTAGGTTGCGTCGTAGTCCGCGCGTTGGACTCGGGATCTCAACAAGTAAGCCTGACCTCTCTACATCACCTCGATCGGCTGCCTTCCAGCCTTGACCACCCTGTGTGCCGGATGGGAAGTAGTACGGGCCGTTCTGATCAACAAGGTAGTCCAGAGCGTCAGTGCGTCCGCCGCGATCATCGAAACTCGGAGAGTTTTCGTCGACGTTGTACCTGTGCGTTGTGTAGGAGATTTCTTGTAGTTGCTTTTCACGAAGCTCCTTTCGCTTCTTTGAACGTCTTGTGTACCACATCCAGAGTGCGAGTAAACCACATACAGCAGCGATACCGATACCGATACCAACGCCCAATCCTGCCTTTTGTCCAGTCGTAGACAAAAGGCCGCTGTTGGAAGACTGTGGTGGAGCCAGGACGGCAGGAGGTGTGTAGTCGGATATCCAGGAATTGGAAGTGACGTTAAGGAAGTAGGTCTGCGTATTCGCTGCTGGCGTAGTATCTCTCCGTCGCGCACCAGACGATGGTATAGAATAACCTCCGGTGATCATTAGAACACCACCTGGCAACATGGCCGCGCCATGGCCATAGAGACCGGCATCATTTGGCAACCCAGCACCAGTGGTAGACGGCACTATCCACTGCCAGTCACCACTACCACCATAACCGTCTGCGACGTTCAGTACAGCGAGTTGAGGATCCGCTGGTGTGTCGATGTCGCCCACCCAACCACCGATGACGATGATCTGCTGACCATCTGGACTAAGCACGGCTGTATGACCGGAACGGGGATCGACTGAGGCAACGTTTGCTCGGATCGCTAGGTCTGTACGGGAGGTATCGGGTTGTTCGACACCAATGAAGGTCCAGCCCTGTTCTGGAAGGGAGAAGAGGGCTATCTGGGACATGTTGATGAAGGCAGCTTCGGTGTGACCTCCGATGAGGACAAAGTTCTGTTGCTGGATCTGCGTGCCATCGCTTCGGTCGGAGAAGGTGGGTGGTAGACCTGTGATTGTGAAACCGGCTTCTGGTACAGGCGGCCCGCGACTGGACGATACATCGGTGTCGTAGTTGAGAGGTTGAGCGGCATCTCCGGAGGGTTGCAAGGTGACCATCAAGTTGGAGTAGTTGGCGGCAGATTGCCAGTCGCCTGCAGTGTCGTTTTGGTCGGGGCACATGCCTCCAAAGAAGTACGCACCGGTGTCTGCAGCGTTGCCCCCCACAATTGACGAGAAGGTCATGCCGCCGCTGAGGTAGTTGGCGCCCATAATGGACGTATGTGAACTGTCGACGACTGAGACATGTTGCTTGCTCCAACTGCCCTTGACGACATTCTCCGACGTATCCGGCACAAAGGTCCACAACTCTCCACCACTCGCACCCAGAGTGCAGTCGCCAGTATACACAGTCAAGTTGCCGTCCTGGTCGAGAACTGGGGTGAAAGCCCGGGGGGTTTCATCGTCAAGGAAGGGTAACGCAGCGTACAAGGTATTGTAAGGTAGATTCGACGCTCTGACCGGGGAAGATAGATCGATGGTGCTAAGGGCGAACTGTGTGGTGGATTGCGACGAGGGGCGGAAGACGTAGAGGGTGTCGTTGGTTTGGAGGAGGCGTGTAGGGTTGTAGGGCATCTGGGGCAGGGAGAGGCGCTGCATGCTTGGTGCGAGGAGAGCCTTCACCTCGAATGCTGGAATCGACGTCCCATGAACCGCGGCTTTGGACTCTGCGGGGGACGGACAGTACAGAGCAGGCGACGACGATACAGTGCTTGGAGTTGTCGATGAGACGGGAGTCGAAAGGTGGGCTCAGATCTGCGGTTCATGCACGGGACCGTCGAGGTGGCTGGCTATCGGGGTCTGTCAACAGAGGCCCAGCCCGCAGTCATGCACCAGAGACCCAAGCCGTGCACCAGAGGGCATACACCAGCTTGCGCAATGCGCTACCGTGGGTCCATCGGCCCAATCAGTATGCGTTACGCATCATCGCGTCTGCGCCCGGCGCGCGTCTGGCCCTGATTTTCTCACGCCAAGCCAGTTGGTAAACACGGTCGCTCGGAGCAACGGCCTTTGGCGAACGTTGTATCTTCACATGCTATCATCGCGGGCAAGCCACACAGTCCGACTGGGGCAATGAGTCCGCTCGTCAAGAATTTTTTTTCTTGGATAACGGAATGCATACTGGCATGACCCGTCGTCTAGAGTGTGCTGTGCTGTGCTGTGCTGTGCTGCGCGTCGACCCGGACTTGGGACGAGAGAGGGAGGTTGGTGCAAGGTCGGTGGTATGACAGCATACCCCCCCACCTCACCGCTGGAGAACCCGGCTTCCACGCGGAAGAGTCGATGACACTACGCTGCCAACCGCCCATGTTTCAGATAAACGGCGCGCATCAGCTGAGAATGATTGCCCGCGTACAATTGCCTCTCGGTCCTTTACAAAAAAGAACCACCATCAAGGAAATCAAGGCTCTCGAGGTACATGGAGTCGGGCCTTTTTGCACCGCAGACTGCTACACAACTGGAAGGTTAAAACCGAAATCCTGATTTTCGAATCCACGAATCATCTTGTGTATCCATCGCATCTCGCATTTCAATCTGCACATGATAGGCGGCAGCTAATTGCTTTTCGATTGAGCTGTCCAAGGCGGTGACACGGTTTTGCAACGTAATTCCTCGCATAGGTGAACCAAATGCTCGAATCACACGCTGCAGCATCTCCGCTACCGTAGCCGCCAACGAACCGTCGAGGCATCATCTCTTTGATATCTTGTGCACAGGCCTGTAATGGGGGCAGGACGTCTTGAGGCTCAAAGCTGGAATCAATTCTCGACCTTCCCAGCGTACTAGTCCGCCGCCCACGATCAACGAACAAAGGTGGAATCGGGCCTTTGCAGCCGTTATCAAGATTTGCGCGTGCCGTTGGACACG